TGCACAAGAACAAAGGAGTTATCAGTATAACAAAGGATCATCGTCCGATCAGGCTCTTATATCCGGCGGAGCGACTTCGCAAGACCATCAACAACCTCATAGTCTAACCTATCAGCAACAGCAGCAAAGTTATCCACACGTACAATATTCCACGCTAGTTTCCAGAGGAGCTGGCAATAGATTGGCACCAGTTCCGCAAAGGCTATCTCCTCAGATATTCGTGCAGCCGTCTTATTCTGCTGAAGTACAACCAGCTTCCTCCTACTTTGCTCAAAACATGCAGTTGCGATCTGGAATGCAATATGGAAATGTACCAGTACGTTATGTGCCATACGATGGAGAACTGGAGCCGCCAATGTACGTTCCGACTCAAGGACAGGTAAGAATTTTGTTACAGATATCGTCTCTTTTTGGTCTGGATAGTTTGCATATTGTCTTGATCGTTTTGTCTAGTCGCAGTTCATTGCAAAAGATGTCATCTGTGACATCCAGTGCATGCATTTTACATGGCTCGGGAATATTTGGTAGATAATCCCAATTTCAAAATCTCCGTTTTGCTTTTACTGTGTACAAACGTCCATTCGACATGCTTTTACAAGAACCGCATAATTGCGTCTCTTGGGATTACGGTAAGGAAACGGTAAAATGGTTAGAATAGCAAATTAGCTCAAACTTGGGTTACGGTAGCGCACTTTTGTGGTGTTTTGTTATAATGTACGCTGGGGACTAATTGCAACTTCGCACAAAGTACATACCGAAAAGAGTTCATGTTAGGAAACAGTATATCAGACCCTCCGCGCAAAATCTCAGCAAATTTTACGGTTACGGTACCTTACCGTATACTTATTGTAACCTCGCATCAAAGATCCTACCGTGCGAAAAGGAGTCATGTTTGCACGTATAAGACTGAGTGCAAGTTCAGCGCAAACTGAGTGGGAATTTAGGTTACCTGAAGTGGAAGAAGACCGGTGTTTTTATTTTCTTTCGTAATATATCATTTTAGGTAGCAATGCCGCCGGGTACAATCGTCTACACTCAAGATGGGCGTCGTGTGAGTTTTCCCATGAAATCGCCTAATTATCTAAATTAGTTCTTTCTCATTTGTTCTTCTCTCAATAGAAATCATCGTTACATTTCTTGTTGTGTAGGTCACCGTACAACCAACACAATATGCTTACGCTCCTGTACCTGTGCAGTACGTCCAAGATCCCGCAGTCATGTACGACAATAACGCGAACCTTCAACGTGAGCAGATCATTCGATTAAATGTTCTGGCTTGTGCAGCATATTTGCAGCTGTAATGTTGAATGGGGAGACTTCCAATATTGGACAATCCGTTGTCGCTGATAAAAAGAAGAAACGACAG